TTAGAAAGATCACAGCCAGGACGAGTTTACAAACTCCGTAAAAACGGTAACGAAGAGTTCGTTCACCTAACCGAACACCCGAGCCGACTAGCGGAGAAATGCGACACAATGCAGAGAAAAAGTAACTGTATCGAAAAAAGAATACAAAACAGAAGAAGACACTTCTGGAGAGGCCCCTCAAAAATAAACGTTTCTTCCAATTTAAACACTGCTTAAAAAAACGAGTCCAAGCAGCCGTCGATGTGCCTCTCGGTTCCTATTAACATACGCACCAGTGGTAAAGAGAGTGTACACGAATATCGCCAATATTACGATGCGTGGCTATGGTGCCAACAAATATGAAAATGAAAGGGAAAGGGAGTGGGTGGGGGGGGGGGGGGGCAATGACGAGAGAGAGTGTCAGAGAGTCCTCTGGACCGCCCCTCTTTTGCGCTCCGGACGTAGGTTACTCCACACCTTGTGAAGGTCACGGTCGCGCACCCGCGTTCTCTCCGCACGTCCGCCGCAGGACTTCCGCAAGAATTCCCCGCACTGCGTGACACGCCAAAAGAAAAAAAGAAGGGAAAAAATCCTTCCCGCGAGCACGGCCGCGCTGGCTAACCAAGCAGACGGACACGGAAAGCCCCCGCCCCCCACCTCGCTTTCTATTATGTATTGCGTATGCACGGTCACTAACTCACTTTGAGGATTTCCTGCGGTGGGTGGTGCCCCCGCAGTGCTCTAGGTGCACCCCACCCTGCCCCTCTCTCTTAGACGAGGCACTGCCGCCGCTAAGTGCTGCTGAAAAATTCGGAACGCGTTCACGGGTGAAGCGGACCGGGGCGGACTAAGGTGACTCGTAGATGTATGCACAGTATAAAAATGTCCCTCGAGTTGTCCAGCATGAAAAATACAAACAGATGGTGCATTGTTTTAATTACTCTACAACAAAAGTCGAGTTATTAGCCGATTTTTTCAACGGGTTACTGCCCAAAATACAGTGAGTTGTTTTTTTTTGTTTTTTTTTTTTTTTTTGTTTTCAGCCGGTAATTTAGGCATTCCCTTGTAGTTGTCTTTGCTCAAGGATAAAAATTTTCGTTTTCCTCAAAGATTTCTTTATAACAATCTTTCAGGAAGTGTTCTACTTGAGATTCCTCATTGTTGTAGAATCACATTCCAACTATGACCACATTACAACAAAAGGGACATAAGGGCCTGGTGATTAATGTCACAATTTTAAAAGTTACTAGTTTTTTTATTTTTACTCTTGTAGTAACTAGTACGATAAAATGAAATTTCATATAATCTTTAGGTATCACAATTTTTGGGAACGAAGTCCACAGAATAGACATATGTTTATGGTAAGATAACATTGTTTTGGGGCTCATCTTAGTAAAAAAATAACTACTGGATTGAATTATATAAAACATTAAGTACACACCACTATGTAGAGAGGCAGAACTTAGTGGAATGGGTAAACTTACACTATGTTTACTGAACAGTTAGAAACGGAAGATGTGCAGTACAAAAAGAGGGGTAGCTACGTATGAGGTCTTAATGAGGAACCTCTTGAATCATAATAACAATATTATACTTTGAAGAAAACAGCTCATCTAATGTAGTATAAACCTAAAATGACAACATTCATGAAAGCTACATTCTGGTGGTACGGTCTACTTTGCAACAAACTATGATGAGCCACTAATTCTTTGTTTGATAAAATACCTCAATGAAAGGTAAAATCTTAGATACACTATGTACAGTTTAACTTACAGTAGTGTTTTTAGGACATGTACAGATACAATACACACTGTACACATCTTAAGAATATATACTCTATATATACACATCTAGGTACACATAAAAATGCCACATCGAGTAAAGGCGAAGTAGCCAGTCTTTGGAATAGAGAAAGGGATGGTTAACTTTGGAAATGGATTTGCACCAAGGATATCAACTCCGCCAAATGCAATACGAGCCAGGCAACGTGTCAGTGCCGGGAAAGAAATTCTAGACCAAGTCCACAATCCACTAGTCTCAAGGAGACATACAAATTTGCAAGTCACGGCAGAACATCAAAGAACCCTTTTTAGAAAGATCACAGCCAGGACGAGTTTACAAACTAGTTTTGTAATATAAGAAGGGTTCTAGAGAATAACAACAATGATTGCATATTTCATTTTCGAAATAATTATTCTACCATACTGAGAATCGAAGGCTTGTGCGCATAGTCGCACACAAAAGTGGACAAGACTAAATTCTAGCCATGGTAGAAACTAACAAAAAACAGGGAAGAAAAGTGGATTGCGGAAGGAAGGGGGCCCAAATCTTGCGACCGCAACAACCCAAAGCAAAAGAACTCGACAAAAGTAAAAATAAAAAGTTTTTGCGGAGCTCCGCAGTTTGCGAATGGCGGGGGTGGACAGCTTGGCGCGGGCAGGCAGGCCACAGGTGAAGGGGAGGCGACACATCCAGAGCAACTCAAGTACGCGCCCTCCCCGCTCAGCGCTCGCGCTCAATACGGCCTCCAGACGTGCTTGACCTGCTGGTGCGTCGGCCGGATGGCCGGGCTCTTGTGGCACTCCGTCGATCCGATCACGGCCGCCCTCTCCGTCGACGGCGTCCTCGGCCTCTTGGGGCTGGCACTCCCGGCGGAGGCGGCGGTCGGCATGGGCCCGCGGCTTGTCCGGCTAGGCGGCGAGGGCGGCGACGGCGGCGTGGCCAGGGACACGGGCAGCCCGAGGGCTGCGGCGGGCCGCACCTGCTGGAAGGCGGACTTGACCACGTCGATCACCTCCTCCGCGTCGGAGCTATCGCTGTGCTGGCTGTTGCTGTCGCCGCTGCGCTGCGAAGACGGGGACAGGCGCCGTTTCCGGCGCGGAGGTGGCGAGGACGAGGTGGGCGACGACGTCCGGTCGGGGGTGACGACGAGGCCGAGGGGTGACGGATGCGCGGGCAGCGAGGTGGTCGAGAACGCCGAGTGCGGCGACTTGTGCAGCGGGGAGGCCAGCAGGTCGGCGGGGTTGGGGGCGCGAGGCCCGTGAGGTGGTAGCCCAGGGTAAGGCAGTCCGGGGAGGTACGCCCCGGGGGCGGGCACGGCGCCGTAGGGCGGTAGTCCGGCGGCCGAGCCAGGGTGCAGGCCGGGGTAGAAGTCGGGCCCCAGGGCAGGGTCACCTGGAACAACAACAAACAAGGAAAGGTCAGTCACCGTGTCCAGCGTGGGCAGCCCCGTACCTAAAATACGACCGCCCCGCTCTCCGCGGGCTTCTGCCGAGAGAAACGAGCTATTCCGTGAAAAACTTTGTGAAAGGTGGACGCCGTTTAATTGAAAAATAAAGAGAAAGGGAGAAATCGGTGGATTACTCGTTTTGAGAAAACTTCGGCGAGCGCTGCTGCGCGCTTTTATCCCTCATGTC